TGTGAGGAACAAAAAATAAACAACACAATTTTGTTTTCTTCAACTTTTACCCGATAGCTGTTCAGCAATTGCACTATGTTCTAGTGCGATATGAAAAATACCGATCAATTGTGCAAAACGTAACACTATAAACTCAAGCAACAATTGACGAATAACTTCAACCTTACAATCAGCATCAAATGTAGTCTCGAATAGACCTCATGCTTACAATTAACAAATCTTTGTTTGCGTGAAAATGAACGGTTCTTGAACAGACTTTCACAAAAATTCAATTTTCGATCGGCTTGGACTAAGTGCTGATCATTGCAGCTTGAAAAAAAAATGCTCATACAGTGTAAAATCGTGCTTTTCTCCTCGCATATGATGTATCCAAATACGTTTTATNAATGTTCATCACCTTGTGGCTCTACAATCGCAAACAAACGGTCCTCTTTTCATTCATTTTGTTCCTTCCTATTCTGTTGATCCCAAAGATGTCCATGACATCTACGATTTTACTGCAAGGCCAAGTAGAAGAATTTGGAGTTTGTCATTCTGTTGCTGAGGTGGAATTAATTAGTTCACTATTGTATCGAGAATAGGAATTGGGGAAGAATGTGGATTTCGAAAAACGCTGACTGCGACATTGCTAGGATAGACTCTGATTAAACGGTTGATAACGAAGAAACAAAACGCCTAAATGAATGGCCACGATCAGTCCAGCTGAAAAGATGGGATAGCAGTCAGCGTGCTGGATCACCACGCAATATCTTTATCACTCTTGAGTTTCCCGTTGATTATTCTAATTTGGGAGGAGAACGACCATATTCAATCATCAAAATTCGTTGATGCTCAGTTGGATGGTAGACGTGTCCAGCAACGCTGGAAACATTTCTAGTTCTATAAATTTTTTCAAATGTCCAATCGATCAGATTCATTGTCTGCTAATTTTGTTGAACCGTTCGGGCTGTTTTCAGATGACGATTCAAGATCATCGCACTGGCGTTTTGAGTGCAAAATATCAATTACAAGAGAATGTCAAAACAACACGAGTCATGATACCAATTTTGGTCAGTAACATCGTTTTAATATTCGTATCACTAGTCGCCTTCTTCACCTTTCTACCAACGCTCAGCGCCACTGCCATCGTTGATCGAAATGTGCTCTCGACAGTCACTGACTATGCACCAATTGCTGAAATACAGGTAAGAATTTCTGAGTAATTGTCTACCAGCAATGTGCCCGTTGCATACTTTCGACAGACTGATCTGTTCTGTTCTCTCAACTCTTCCTTTCGGTTATGTTTCCCATTTCCAAAATTCCAACAGAATAGGAAAATTACCACAGAACAGGAATAGAAAAGTTTACTTAGAACAGGAACACCACTAGTGTTCAGTTGCTCCCTTTCTTTGCCTGATCACTTAGAAAAACTCTGAATCATTTGAAATTCAGAAGCATGGTTATTTTCTGTTGAGCTTAACTCATATTTTGGTGAGTAAACTTTCAAAGTACTTTCCCTATCAAACGTTATGGCAGTAAATGTGGCCGCGTGGCGCAATGGACAACGAGTCGGTCTACGAAACCGAGGGTTCCAGAATCGAATCCTGCCGTGGTCGGCAACTTTGCAGACGTTGCGGCGAAATGAGGCAAAAACTTTCTCCTTCAGTGGAGCAGTGATGTTTCTGTGTGAAGTTACTAGTGATGTATGCAGAGCTATTGCTAAATAATCCTCATTATGTTGTGTCAGGCTCATGTCAGTGTTTAGGCTGCCTGATGATGGCCATATGAACCATCAGGTGGTTAGGTTACTAATATGGAATGAAAGCTATGCAATCGCGTACACTTTTCAGAATTCATTGATGCCGATCTCAACGATCGCCTCAGTGATTGCGTTGAATGTGATGTGTTATCCAATCAGGCGTTCCACCTTTCGTATTCTTCACATACGAATAAGTGTTGAGCATGACCATCCAGTGGAATGTGCTGATGTTCATGTGACGTACATGTACTTCGAACAACTACGAAAGCAGTGGCATCAACAAAGGGCAATCCGAAAAACCCAACCGTTGAGAAACAGTTACATTTGAGCTCATTTCTACTCAGTTGGATGATGAAAAACTTGTGATTAATTCGAAAGTTTTGCTGAATTTGTTCAACTGTTCGTATGAGAAGCACAGACCTGTACGGAATGATGCCTGCAATTAGCAAGCATGATGCAGCCTGCAAATCAGCAATTAAATTTGTCGCTTGATTTCAAAGTAATCATTTGTATTGCATTGATGTTACACGATTTTTCGAAGAAAATAATTGACAAAATGAAACGTTTTCGGTGTTAAACTCTCGTGTGACTGTCAATCATTTGCTGTCATTTCTTTTGTTTATACTTATTTGAGGCATATCATGAAAAGGACCATATTGCCGCTCAACAGAATACGAACACAAAACTGTAATTGTATATGAAATCCAAATTAACTTTTTTTTTTGAATTCTTTCCGTGTC